CTCTTTCTGACTGATGTGTGAGTGTTCTCCACATGTTCTGGGCCCGGACTCAGCGTCTGTTGCAGATAACGCCTCACATTTGGTGGTTTGCCTTTTCAACTTCTTAATTTGTGGAATTAGCCAACCTTTTCTTTATGATCGGTCATTTTATGCCCTCTTTAGGATGCCTTCCTGTGATTGACCCTGTCTATTAACATAAAAGCACTTTGTTGTTTTATCTCTTACATTTAGAATTAGACTTGAGTTTTTAGGTATAGGTTGATTTTCATTTATCCCTATGTGGATAACCAATTATCTTATCATTTACTAAAAACATTACCCTTCCCCTACTGCTCTGTAAGTTCCAGATTTGCTGTAAATCACTTGTCCACATATGCATAAATGTATGTGGGCTTTCTGTTTGATTCTGTTACGCTATTTCACATTGCTAAAGAGTTTTTGTAAGTATTTATCAGGTTTAAGACATTCTATCCTATTCTTGTCTCATGAGTGAATGTTAACTTTTATATGCTTTTTTTTTTATAAATTATTTTATTGGAGGCTTTTATAGCTCTTACGACAATCTATACACCAGTTGTATCAAGCGCATTTGTACATATGTTGCCATCATCATTTTCAAAACATTTTCTTTCTACTTGAGCTCCTCTTCTTCCCTCCCTTCCCCACCCTCCCACCCATGAGGGCTCTTGATAAATTATAAATTATTATTATTTTCATATCTTATATTGTTCAATGTCTCCTTTCACCCATGTTTCTTTTGTTTGTCCTCCTGATGGGGGCAAGCTATACTTCAATCATTACAATCTGTTTCCCCTTCCTCCCCCCATCTTCTATACTTTTATTGAGATAAATTGTTCTCATTTTTTCTGTTAATATGGTGAGTACATGCTTGGTTTTTCTAATATTAAATTAACTTTCAGAACACATCCACAAGAGTCAGAAAACAGCCTGAAGTATAGACCACATGAATTTTGAGAACATCTCAAGAGTTCATTCCTTGAGCCCCGATGACCAAAGAACGGAAGTGTATGGAATGACATCAATATCATCATACAGGCAGAAAGAAAAGATTCATTTAAAAGAGAAGACATGAATAAAAGACCAACACAGGTGTCAGAAGAGACGTTGAAGTTTGCTCTTGAACACAGAATACCTGAAGCAATTGGAAGAATTGATGAAGGTAAAGGGCTGAACATAAGAGTCCAACGGGCAGCTCAAGAAGACAAAGTAAATCATTATAATGAAATGTGCAAAGATCTGGAGTTAGAAAACCAGAAAGGGAGGCGTTTACTCTGCATATTTAAAACTGAAAGAGCTGAAGAAAAAAATTAGGCTGTTAAGTTTCAATACAGAGGGATTATATGGGCAAAATATCGAATAATACAGGAAGCATCAAAAGAAGATAGAAAGAATAGCCAGACTCCCTGTACCAAAAATACTTGGTCGGCATATATGCAAATACCTTGAAGAAATGAAGCTCTGAGCCTGGAAAATCAAGACCAAAATCTCAGATAATACCAAGATGGATCAGCATAATATCGTTAACAAAGACAGTGTCCCACATCCTACTTTGGTGAGTAATCCTGCCGTCTTAAAAGCTTGTGAGCAGCCCTCTAAGGTGCAACAATTGGACTCGCCCCATCCTGAGGAAAGAATGGCAGAAATCAAAAAAAGACACATGGAAAAAGTAGTCCAATTGACTAATAGACGTGCAAACATCAGTCTCCACAACCCTGAGACAGGAAGAACTAGATGGTGCCCGGTCACCACTAGCAACTACGTTAGAAGGTCACGTTAGAAGGTCCTAGATAGACTAAGAGAAAAATGTGGAACAGAACTCCAAATCATAAGAAATCAGACTTATTAGTCAGAGAGTGACTGGCAGACACCCCCGGACTATGACCATTAGCCACTTTTCAGGTCTGAAACGGAGCTCTCTCCAGGGTAGAATAATCAACCATTTAAGATCACAAGGGCATCATTTACCCAGAGACAGAGTGTTCGGAAAGAGCGAGTAATTGACACAATAAATACTGGGAGGAAGCCATGGTATATTGAGGGGATTGAAGTGGGTGAGTGGAAACCAAATGTGTACAAATTCTTGAATGTGAATGTTCGCATCTGCTCTGAAATCCCTCACCTGACTCATAGTAAAAAGTTAAAAAAAAATCAGAAACACTTAAATATTAAGACAGAAGATTGACTAAATAAATTTCTGTATATTTTTAAAAAAAAGAAGAAATTCAACCACATATTGCATTGGGCAAATCTGCTGCATAAGACCTTTTTTAAAGTGCTAAGGAGCAAAGATGTGACTTTGAGGTCTGAGGTGCTCCTGTCCCAAGCCATGTTTTTTGTTTGGTTTTTTAATCATTTTATTAACGGCTCTTACAGCTCATATACCAATCCATACATCAGTTGTAGCAATCACATTTGCCATCATTTTCAAAGCATTTTCTTTCTACATGAGCCCTTGGTATCAGATCCTCTCCACCCCACCCCACCCTCCACCTGGCCTCCCCCCAAACCATGTTTTTTTCAGTTGCCTCATAAGCAAGTAACAGCTGGGCAACGAACAAGAATCATTTGAACCCTGGGGTTGGTGAAGAATAATCACAAGGACCGCCAGGTGACCACATGAATCTGCCTTGGAGAAAAGACAGCCGGAATGCGCCTTAGAATCAAGGATGACGAGCCTTCCTCTCACATACTTGGCATATTTATTGGGAGAGACCAGTCCCTGGAAGGGACATTGTGCTTAGACAAGGGAAAAGAAGACCCTCAAACTTTTAAAACGGGGCCAGTTCACTGTCCCTTGCACCGTTGGAAGGCCGGACTATAGTTTTAAAACTATGAACAAATTCCAGTGCACACTGCTCTTTTTTTTTTTTCAGGGGCAGGCCAACAAGGCTTGCTTTTATTGAGTGACTGATCAATAGAACTGCCAAGGCCACTCTGCACGGAGAAGAGAGGGGGAGTTTATTTCTTGGTCTCTTCCTCCTTGGACTGCGTCTTCATGAGCTCTTCTTTCTTGGCTGGAGTCGCTCCTCTCGGCGCTTGTGTCCTCCTTGGCCTTAGACCTGCGGGCCTCACCTGCGCAGCCAGGAGCTTCTTGCGAGCCTGGTCTGCCTTCAGCTTGTGGATGTGTCCATGGGAATCCGCTGGCTCTTAAACACGTTCCCCTGCCCCTTCAGGGACAAGCGGTGATACCTGTGGCGGCCAATCTTCTTGGACTCCCGGGGTCTTCTGAGCAGCCGGCGCAGAATCCTCATCCTCCTCTTCCACGTGACCTTCTCGGGCACGCGAGCATTGGCAGGACCCTTTCGCTTACCTGTGCCCATATGCCTGCCCTTCCGGCGGGCTAGGGTGTGTTTGCGGCATCGGGCCGAGAATGGACGGTCACAGGCTTGCGGATGATAAGGCCCTCTTTGATCAGTTTCCGGATGTGCTGACCGGAGTTGACATTGGAGTTGGCATTGGCATTGGGGTCCAACCAGACTGTCCTCTTGCCGCAGCGGAGGACGCTGAAGGCGAGGCTCGTCTGAAGCCAGAGCATCCTCAGGACTGCGGCCGAGCGCCGAAAGGCACACATATCTTATTTTGAAGTGAAAAAAGAAAACGGGCAAAAACACCCGGCGGGCCGGATAAATGTCCTCGGCGGGCCGCAGTTTGAAGACCCCTGCTCTAGTGGCTGCAACGCTGGGCTCAAACATGAGTGCGGGGATGGCGCCGGACGGGCGGGTTTCCTTCCGTCACACACAGGGCCGCTGTGGGTTGGCGCTGACTCGGTGGCTCTGCACCACATATGGACTCTCCGTTCCTGTTGTCAACCCCACTCAATACTTGAAACATGGGACTGCAGAAAGGCTTGACGTTCAGGTCCCCCAGTGCGACCTCAGGAACAAAATCCTGGCAGTCTGCTTCTGAAAACAAAACCCCTGTGGGGCCCACTTCTAACTCTGACGCATAAGGGGTGTCGGGGAGTTCTGACAGCGGCACGTCGTCCGAGTGGCTAGTTGTGTCGTTGCTCTTAGCTTGGTTAGTTTTTTAATTTGGTTCATTAAGCCAGCGTTCTATGTTTTGTCTGCCCTATCATGTCCTCATCTGGGGGCTTTGCTCCATTTGTAAAGGAAGGTCAGGGTCCACTCTCTGGAAGACTTTAGGTAAGACTAACATTATTTTAGAATTCACTAGCGAAGTCATCTGGACTAAAGTTTTGTTTGGTTTGGGGGGAAATGTTTTGAATTAAAATTTTTAATTTCTTCAGTGATCATAAGTTGGTTCCTATGTTCTCTTCCTCCTGCAGTCTATTTTGATCAGCTATATTTTTGTGGAAATGTGTCTATTTCTTTCAAACTTTAAAAAGTTTTGCGTATGAAAATTTTTCCACCCTTTTCAGTCTCCAGTATCCATAGACTGTGTAGTACTAAGTACCCCCCTCCCCCGACTCCTTATTTGGAAGGGCAGATATTCTTCCAATCTTTTCTCTTCAACTTTTCTGTATCTCTGTGTTTGAAATGTTGGTATATAAATAGCTGATAACTTTATTTTGTTTGATCATGTGTGATAATCTTTTTTCTTTAAAGGCAAGGTTAGGACATTTCACATTTAATGTAATTGGGTTTAAATCTGTATCAGTTCTTTAAGGTCAATAATTCTTTAAACAATAAGTTTTCCCATTCAGAAGATTAGCAGTTTATTAACACCTATGAGTTGATCTTCTCCGATATGTATTTAAGTATGCAGAGATTTATGAAACCTTCTCCTTTCCTATTATTACTCTGGCTGCTATGTAATGAATAGAGAGCCAGGGATTAAAATACACGAAGGACAATATTTCTACTCTGGCACTTTGGGAATTCGCCTTACAACTCTGTTCGTGTGATTTAGCTATTTAATGCCAATATACAAAACATTAACAATGCATCTCTTAATGTATTGCTTTAGCAAAACGGTGTAGAAGTGTTAATTTTAAATTACTTTTTTTTTTTTAATTTCAGGGCTGCGACTCCCAGATGAGCATGTCAGAAATGTCCTGCGGTGAAAGCGCATCCTCCTGTCAGTCCCTGGAGCCCGGCGCAGTTCCGGAAATCCTCGTCGGCCTGCTGTATAACGCCACAACTGGAAGACTATCTGCAGAAGTGATCAAAGGAAGCCACTTCAAACACCTGGCAGCAAACAGACCACCCAGTGAGTGAACCAAAAGAAAATATTTTTTTAAAAATGTTTTTAACCATTCGAATGTTTTCTGCGTTTGTGGGACTTTCAGTAGTAGGACCTTTGGTGCTATCATTGAATGTGAACCAGTCAAAAGGGTACGGGTCAATGAATCGGTGTCAGGTTTTCTCATTCCAAGCAGAAAAATTTGAAATTCAAAATATTCATTGCAATGTGACAGGACTTTTAAGTTTTCACAGTGACTGGGAAAGCAATTGCCCCCGTGGAGCCATTTTATTCAAATGTTACAAAAGTTAGAGGGTTTTTAAATGCCAGTATCATTCCACAATTAGCAACAGCGTTATTTGTTGCAACCAAACACCGGTGCTGTGTGTTTTCTGTCCCCACACAGTACTCCGAACAAATGTGTCGGCTTCTCCCCTTTCCTCCTTTTCTTCATTTGTTTTTCTCCTTTGAGACCATGAACCAGTGCTTCCAGCAGAGATCTCTAAAAGGAGGTATCCCTTGCCTTTGCCAGGGCACAGCAAGGAAGAGCTTGCTACGCCCCCTGGACACAAGGAAGGGAAAGCTGGGCGGAGGGAACGAGGAGTGCGTGGTGGGAGTACACAGTGGTTGTCGCCTGGCATACCTCCAAAACTGATTGTTGACACCAATGAGAAATAAACTGGACAAGGAGCCGCTTATTTGTACTTTTCTACAATCAAAGATGTTAATGCCCTCCAGTGGAAAATTTTAAAGGAACCCTTGATTAATAAAGCCCCTTAAATTTGCATAAAGATTCCTTGAAAATTTGCACACAAAAAAGATTCTTCATAGACTTGTGAAAGGCCGTCTCATAGTCCAGATAGCAAACATTTATTGAAAGAGAGAAAACTGCCTCCACTCCTGAAATAAAATCTCCCTCCTTCTCACCATGCTCAAAATGCCACAGGTAAACAACTCTTTTATTCAACGACAGTGAAAAGTCATAAAAATAGACTTGGATTTTCCCAAGTGGAACTGGGAACCTTCCTTCTTTTTTTCTTTTTTTAATTGGAACCTTACTTCTTAACATCCTTCACAGACTATGACCCCTGTATTGAAAGTCAGAGGGCTAAAATCATATCCATATTTATGTCCTTGGACAGGTACCCTAACTCCTCTGTTTCTTGATGAGCAACGGTAAGGTCATGTCTGACACGGTGATTGTCAGACTCAAATCAGAGAAAGGTGCAGAAAAGAAGGATGGAATTACTATCGCCTCCCCCTCTTATTTCAGAAGGGAGAATTTGGAGGGAGTAAAGAAGCAATTGCTATAATGAACATTTGAAATTTACTTGATCATTCTTATTTATGCACATCTAGAGTGCAAATTCAAGTATATGGGAGGTAACTCAATGCTCAGTATCTGGGCATGAGCACTGTGGAGGGTGGTGGACCTGTGGCACACTCAAGAGTGCATGCCCTGGCCTGGAAGACCTCAGTTTCCCGCCATACAATAGGTAGTGGTATATGAGGGAACAATAAAACTAGTCAGGTATGCCCTCCTTAGAATAATCAACCATTCCTTTGAGATCAAAAGGCCAAGGTTCAGAAGAGTTCGAAAGGGAGGAGGAATGGAAACAGCAAACACAGGGAGAAAGTGGGATGAGTGATGTTTTCATTGTCAGGGGGGAGGGGGGAGGGGGGTGTTGCAATCAAGGAGATGAAACAAAATGTATGTCTGATGGGAAAACTGATCTACTCTGTAAACCTTCACCCAATTCACAGACAAATGTTAAAGAGAGTGACCATGTCCTGCCTTCAGAAATTCAAATGATTGCAAATTGGATATACTGTACCAGGTTAACATTATTTGGGGCCACATTTAGCCACCAGTTCTAACAACTCTAACTTCAGCTGTAGTTTAATTTAAAATTTTAACTGCATGTACTGCCTTTCTGCCCCCACTGCGGCCCCTCTGATGGAAGCACTAGAGAAGAGAAGTAGTAGATAATACACAAGGAAGAATGACTTCCCACAAGAATGGATGCTCTCAACCTAAATGCCCAACAATCTACTGAGTTGTGATAGAGACATTCAAGTGCTTAGCCTCACAACCTAGAGTGTATCTTTCAGGGTAAAGAATAGGCTGCCACAGTAATTTTCATGAATTATTTTGGAATTAAATCTTTAGTGCCAGCTAACTAATGGTTTGTCGGGGAGGTATTGAATGAGTATGTGTGTGTGTGTGTGTGTGTGTGTATGTGTGTGTGTGTGTGTGTGTGTGTGTAACATTTCAAACAACTCTGAGAGTGGAATATTTGAAGAGCACAATCTAAGACAGTGGTGTCAATTTGCCTAAACTGAATGTACTACCTAAGGTTGTGACCCCTTTTTTATTCCTCAAAGCTTTTGGACTATGCTATAGGCTGAATAATCTAGTCTTATCCAAAGAAACAATAGCAATCTTTCAGAGCAAAAATTTTTATATTTATCTTTTATTGTGCATAACTGAATTTGAAATTAAATGGTGAGTAATACAAAGGTGTAAAATACTAAATACTATATGGGTAACCCTAACATTCCAAATAATCATAAAAATAATTGCCCTATAATGACTTTATTCAGTCTTTCACAATCTGCTAGTTTGCATGATCCTTTATTCAATGTGTTTTAGGCCAAAAGGATAGCCTCATCAAGATGTCCCCTTTTTCAAAAAGTGTTTTTTGTTTAAGATTACGAAATGACCTGAAAAATCCTCACTCCATGAAATTTACCCCACAAGCTTTTGGTTAACCCTTCTACCTGAATTAAAATGAAAGGTTTTGTGTTCTTCCACCCCAGTGAAAAATGTTTCCTCTTTAATTCTAACCTTTGACCCTCTCTCACCCAACAATTGACATCTGGTCATTATTTCTTTTACTGCTTTCCACCCCCTGTTGTCAGATGGACTGTTCTGTTGTCTTAAACACTTGATAGGTGGACAGGTTTATATAATCCGAGGTGAGTTCCTGCAGAGACTAATTGGATGTTGTCTTTTCATGCAAAACAAAATGCCCTGGAAACTTGCCAGCAGGGAAGCTGTCCACCATGTGGGTTTCCAAAACAGAAGCAAAGCAAACCAAAAAACTGCACATGTATTATCTGTGGCACTTTCAATAAAACTAACTTAGACGTTATCTCTGATTATGGATGATGGTATTCAGGATATCTGAAAAACATGCAAAACTTTTTTAAAATAAAAGTTTTAATTTTTTTTCCCATTCATTATATTTTAATTCGTAGAACAGAAATAAAGGAGCTCTTTTGTGGAAAAGATGGCAATTTTCTTTAAAATTAATTGACATTTTGAAGTAAGTACACATGATGGATCAACATGCTGAAGATCATTTGCATGAGTCTAAACAACTTGAAAGGCAATCTTTTAAAAAGAAGATTGCTCTCCCAAATAATCAATGAGCGTTTACATTTCACACTGAATACTAAACATCACATCAGTTTTTTTTCTAATCCATGAAAATACACACGATACCATGTTCAAAACCACATTAAATTTTGCCAAAAAAGGAACCCTGTCATATTTATTTTAATTTGCCGAAAAGCACATTAAATGTACTCTTGCATGAAACCAGGAGAAAATTTCCCTTGGTTTGCTAGCCTTTGAGCTCCTGATGTATTTGGCTTCATTGGGGGCCTTCGGTGTTTTTAAAATCAAGTTTTAAAGCCTCATCCATGCAGAGATTTGTTTGACATTTCACCCTAAGCTGTTTGATGTCATCTTTGCACCCTTGTCTTCCTCTTTCCCCTTCACCATTTGCCTTCATCTCTAGTTGTTTGTTTTCTCATTCTCTGGGAACACAGTGGGATGCTTTACAGTGTCGTGGCTATGGAAGCTTGCTAACTGTGTATTAATGCTATGACGTCCCGCTTAGTGATGCTCCATGGGAAGGGGCTGGGGTGGTAGTGGGAGGGAGGTCAAGGATGGGGTGGGATGAGAGGATGGGGGAAGGATTATGAGGTATACCTTTAAATTTTAACTATAATGTAGAAAGAGTTAGGTTAAGATATTAGTACCCCCATCCCCCCAAAATTTTTGTATACATCTGGCTACTTAGCATTCACATTTCTTAAGCCTCCGGTTTAAAATGGAATGGTTGAATTTCCATTTAACTTGGTATACTCTTGGTATAGTTCTTAGCATTCTTAAGCCTCTAGTTCAAAATGGAATGGTTGAATTTCCATTAAACTTGGTATACTCCATATCCTTAAAAAGTGTACATGCTGACTCTTCTAGGGAAGTGTGGCAAGAGACCTGCTTTGAACTTGTTTCAAATGATGTTTCTGGTATGTTGTTTGTTTCGTTTTGTTTTTCCTGTAGATACATATGTTAAGTTAACTCTACTGAATTCCATGGGCCAGGAGATGTCCAAATGCAAGACCTCCCTCCGCAGAGGGCAGCCAAATCCAGTGTACAAGGAAACCTTTGTCTTCCAAGTGGCCCTGTTTCAACTTTCTGATGTGACACTCATTCTCTCTGTGTATAACAAACGCAGCATGAAGAGAAAAGAGATGATAGGCTGGATTTCTCTAGGTCTGAACAGCTCTGGAGAAGAAGAACTCCATCACTGGACTGACATGAAGGAGTCCAAAGGACAGCAAGTCTGTCGGTGGCATGCGCTGTTAGAGTCGTGATGAACAGGAGAACGGCACAGTCTCCATCCACGGCAGCAGCATCTCGGGTTACAACACCACCGTTTTTATCTAGCAACCGTTTCCAGACCCCTCCCTTACAGAATCAGAGTCCACATTCTACAAAATGCTTTTCATTCTGTGGAAAGCACAGCAGTGCTTGCACTCATGCAGAAAAGATATGTCTGATAGAGCTTCCTGGGGAAAAAAAAGAATCAGAAACTTTTATCATCGTTAAATTCATCATCCCCGAGAGATCTAATAACATGCTTTTGAAGTTTAGTTTACTTTCGCAGAAGAGCCTGTAATTTCATTAAAAAATCAAAATTATAAGTGACTAAAAAGATTCATAAGTGTAGTTGTAGCCCTCCTCTAGAACCATTCTCCCCATTCCATAAAACATGTGTTTACTGGCCAGTCCCTGATGTTTATAATCTTCTTTAATACGAGAAAGTAGCCCTCCAGTTCCACATAAGTCGCAAGGATTGCAAGCACCTTGAAAATTGTTTCACGCAAACTATTCCTCCTTCCATCCTCTGAGGTTCAGTGGGGCTCTGCTCGTCATAGTAGCGCCAAGTCTAAGTGCACGCAAGTATTCATTTCCATAAAGAAATTGTTTCCAGTTATCAGTGAAATTCCGTTCTTTATTTGCCTCTGCTATTGCCTGATCCAAAGAGACCAAGTCCCTGCACTGGTCCCTTGGGAGTCTTTCAGACAGGTTGTCCTGTAGAACTATGTAGCTTTCTGTTGAAAGCACTTCCTGTATCCCTGTATTCCAATGTGGGAAGCTAATCCAGCAGGACTTTATGCTTTCTTTCCAGGACTGACTCTTTTAAACTGCGGTGAATTAAAAATGTTTGGGTTTTTTGTTTGTTTGTTTGTTTGTTTGTTTTACAAACTGAAACATACAGCAGCTAAGCTGCTGAAAATCAAAAACGATTCAAGGTGAAGAACATTTTAATGATCTGCTCTGGGTATTTCAGTAACCAACACTGCATCAAGCAGGCAGCATTCAAAAGAAGCGGTTCTCTGTGTAAATCCTCGCTCTTACTTCTGACCCTTGATATTTGTATTAGAAAGACTATCCAGCGCTCAGTTTGAATTAGAGCCACGTGGTCAAGCAGAAGCACCAGCAGCACCAGCTCTGGGCTCACTCTGAAGTTCCTGGGACCTGTGACCAGGGGTTATGACATTTACAGTCCGTTCTTCACTCGGATGTCTTCCTGTGCCTTCCGTGTAAGCTAAAATTTGCTCATACAGCTTGAAAGTTGTATTGGCAAACCTAGGCCTTCGAATTTTTATAAATGTCAAGATTCCGCAGAACAATGTCACGAAGACCCGCAACTTGCTCCGAGTCAGGCAGCAGTTGTATAAGGCGCTCGGGTTTTACTGACCAGGCACCTTCATTGTCTTATATTTAGGAAGGCTGATGAACCAGGACTGTGATAATGGCTTTCTTTTTATTTTTCTTCTGACTTCATTTGAGAGTCTACTTTGTATAAATGAAAGTATCTTCTTTTCTCCTCCTTCCTAGTGAAAGCAGGCAAAAATGTACCACACACCAACGACTGGAAAGGGGTATTGCATTGTTCCCGTCCCAAACAAGCTGTATTGTCCTGAGATAAGGTGTGCTATTATGAAACCAACAAGATCATGCCTAAATATTATCGCTTCAGCTTGGCTGGACTGAACAGCCTTAAAGAGAGATCCCCAAAGACGGTGAGCTCCCATGTGTTTTCATTGTTGCTTGAAGATACGGCAGCTCTGCACAGCTACGCATCCATCCACATACATTTTAAGAAAAATGCAAATGCTGTCTTGGGCAGCATGAAGTTTAAGAATGTATGTAGGGAAGGTACATTACAAGGGAAAATCCTTTATAGTTATACCAACGAGCTTTTTTCCGAATTTTTTTTAATGGTTAGATAATAGAGTTAGCACCTGAATCGAAAGACGGTTTGAAGCACTTTTGGGGTGGGTTGGGTTTGGGTTTTTTTGTCAACAAGATGGGAAAAAATTGGAAGAGATGTAGTTTTGAGAAATTGGATTTAGACATTTGATGCTACAAATATTTTTTTCTGCCTGTAGGACAACTGACTACATTGCTAACAACTGGGATTCTCCTTAATAAAATGAATTGTCAGTCATATTTGTAGCTGTAACAAAGCCTCATCAAACACATTAATCAGACCAGCGTGGTGCTTTCACCTATAGTGAGAAAAAGACGTAATGAGTTGTCATTTATTAAACTACTTTTCTTCCAATTATGCCCGGAAGTCTTGCGTGCTTTGTTACATCCTTAGGGTTTTACCTGGTATACGTATCAAATCCAGTATGGCCTATCACAGTAATCAACAATCAAAGAGAAATCTAGAAAGATGTAGCTACCTCCACCCCAGCTGGCACATTCTCTGTGATTATGAATTAGCTGTGTGCCTGGGTGTATGTGTGTGTCAGTATGCACACACACACACACACGTACACACAGTGAATTTTTTTTTTTAAGACTTTTGAGACCTGGCTTTTTCCCAGGTAACTGAATAGAGAAACACTTCTCAAATTGGGGGTGATTTTTCTCCTCTGTACTGATCAGGGATTATGTTTGGTTTGGGGTGTTCTCTACTGCCATTCTCCTTCACCCATAGCGAGAGATACATCTTTTTATCCTGTGGATTGACTTAACTTAGAGTAATCACTCCCCCCAAAATGTCTATTCTTTTAGAAAAGGATTAAACAGGGCTCAAGAGACCCACTTCATGCTACTGAATCTATAATGTTCAAGACAGGACTACTGCTTTTTTGTGTGCCTGAATTTGCATGAAAGCTTAGAGGCAAATCCTATAGTTCGGTAATTATAGCAAATAGGGCCCACTGGTGGGCAGCAGGTGTTGGCTCAGAAACTTGAGAAAGACAACCCATTTTCTTATTGTTCTGTGAAAATCCCTCAAGTTTTATAATAAAATAAGATCATCCAAATAAGCCAATTGGCTGCTATTTATGTGGGCTCCTGGGCCTGGAATTACAGTTTTTATTTGCCTCCCAGATGACTCTAAAATGAAGCTGTTTATTACCGTCCAGGAAACAAACATATCTCAAATCAGTAAGAATTTGTTTAGGATAATATTCCCCTTACCTCTCAAAAGCTGTCTTACCTACACTTGTGCCTTCATTGCTTTCTACATTTTATGTGAAATTTATTTGCCTGTTAATCTTACTAAGGAACCCTGGTAGAGTAATGGGTTACACATTAGACTGCTAAGCACAAGATCAACGATTCAAAACCCCCAAACAGTCCAGGGGAGAAACAGGAAGCTTTGATTCCTGTAAAGAATTCCAATCTGGGAAGCCCACGGGGACAGTTCTACCCCATCCCGCAGGGTTGGTCGGTGTAAGTTAGAATCGACTCGGTGGCAGTGAGTCCAGTATTATCTTACTAGGCATTCGGCGAATCCACAATAATGTAGTTAGTGACAAAAATAATCAATTAGATTACAATGATTGAGAAGAACAAACCAATGAGAAAATAATCTGCAGTAACCTGGTGACTGCTGTCAGTCAGCCCCAAACTCAAAGGAAGCCTGTGCCCAGCAGGATCTGGTTCTTGTGATCCACAGGATTTTCAGATTTTTTTTTGGAAGTGACTCACCAGATTTTTATTTAAATGCTTGCCTCTCGTGGCGAACCCTGCTCAGCGCCACAGCAAGCCACACTCCTCACTGACAGATGAGTGGCGGCTGTCGGTGAGGTGCAGAGGCTGAGATTGAAAGCGGAGTCTGTCTCCCTTGTGGCAGGCTTGATTTCTACCCTTGACCCGCCCGCGACTCCCTGATTGAGATACACATGTCTAGATGTCGGACCTTATCCTCATTATAGTCCAGTCTACTGCAGATGCCAGGGGCTCTCCACGCTTAATGAAATTTTGGGTTCCCATCATTTTTATTTTGCTCCTCACTTGAATCAGATACAAAAGCAATGATTGCAAAGCAAGGTCGCATCCATATAGAAAATGCAAACAGCGGTGAGGGTGCTGTTCAAGGTGAAGAGGGGCGGGGCACTGAAAGACTTGAGGCTGTGTTAGCCCTGGTAGACTAGGGAATCAAATTCATCGACACTCATCTATGTATAAGAGAGAATTTTATATCAGAGTAATTGTGTATTAAGAAAACACCCCAGCCCAGTCCATATCAAGTCCATAAGTCCAATATTAGCCCATATGTCCAATATCAGTCTATAAATTCAGACTCACGCAACACAGGCAATGATGCCGAATGCAGGAAGATCACAGGTCAGTGGGTGTAAAGTCTTGGGAGTGGAAGCATCTCAGTGCTGGCAGGGGTCTCCTCCAGCTCTCTGAGTCTCTGCACAGCAGGAAAGGGAAGGCAGAGAGAGTGTGTGTCCGGTCAACAGAGAAGAAGATGGGGGTTCCCAGAATCCTCAGGAGAAGGCCTCACAGAGGCCTCATTGGCTATGACCTGATAGACAGGCTAGACTCCACCCCTTGGCTCAAGTTGACAGGAGATTATGTAGCTGCAGCAAGTCTCTCAAGCGAAAGGAGACACTGGTGTCTGAAGGTGTACATTTAATTGGAAGGTCGCTGAGAGTCCATTACAGTGAGTTTGGCTTGGTTGTAGGTCAGTAAGAACAGCAAAAACTAAAACCAAACCCACTGCCATCGCGTTGATGCCAACTTAAAGTGACCCTGGGAGCTGAGCTGCCCCTGTGAGTTTCAGAGACTAATTTTTGTTTGTTTGCTTAGTTGGGTTTTTGTTGTTGTTGTTTTTTTAACTGTAATTTCTTAAAGGACTTGAAAACCCCGTCTTTCTCTCAAGGAGCTGCTTGGTGATTTTGGACTGCTGACCTTTCGGATTGCGGCCCAATGCACAATCACTAGGCCACCATGACTTCTTGTAAGAACAGTAGGCACCATTAAATCTTTAACAATATCCATATCTAAATGTGACTAGAAAGGCAGCATATATTTGCATAAAATGGTCACTTGCCTAGATAAATTAGATCATTCATAGAGCATCTTCACTTTGATAATTATTGTTCCAAAGTTGTCCTATTCCTAGTTTTACCCCCATTCACCGTAGCCTACTCTGGATGTAGCCATCAGTATCATCAGCAGCAAGCAGATTGAATATTGAACACACGCTAATGAAAGTTTTTTAAACTATGATCTTTGTCCTCCAAAATATGATCTGTGTCCTTCATGATACTGAGTCGTAACAGCCGTCATTTGCTGAGAGCAGCACACAAATGAATTGTTTTACTCAGGTTCCCGACTCCATGAAGTAGGGGACGTTATGGATCTCTTGCCAATGAAGAGGCCGCGGCCCAAAGAGGCTAACCTGACTTGTCCCCAATGATCCACCTAGTAAGTGATAAGGCTAGGATTAGAATGCAGGTGTAAATTATTGTAACACCCAGACTCTTTACTACTCTGGGTATTGTAATTGTATCCATCTTTACAAACTGTATGATAAGTGCATTAGCAAGCCCACCCACCTTAAAGCAATATTGAATGGTACAGCTTGGGGTGGGGGCAGGGAGTAAAGAAAAAGCAAAAAAGAAGTCCAAGACAAAAAAGACTAGATCAAAGCACAGATTGGTCATTTTGTGTCATACTTCATAGACGACTTTGAGTTTCAAAGAGTTGGTGATTCATTTATTTAATTTCTGTCTGAAAACATAGCGTTGATTTGGTTCTGTTCTTTGACCATGCTTAGAAGGCCAGCGTATGTTAATAGTAACAAGGTCAGTCTCCTTTTTACTCCATGAAGTGGGTATCTCTTGCCTGTGTTGACCATAGCTTACCCCTATCGAGGTGAGAGAGAAAACTCTCGTTTTCTTCTATGTTCCCACTCGTAT